ATATATATATATGTTAAATTATATTTTTTCAAAGATTTGTTACTTTTTAGCCTTGCCAAATATGTGCCGTTGGAGTATTGGAATGTATGCCATTGGCAGCAGCATACGGTCTGGATGAAGTATATCGAAAATCACTTAGGTGGATTACAAAGTACTTTGTACGAATATGGCCATGCAAAGCATTCGCGACTCTTCCAAGAGAACTTATGGAAAAATGTTATCATCAGCATATAGTGCATATGGTATGTACATCAAATTTTAATAACATTAATAATAGTGTAAATATGTATGTGAATCATGTTGAATAATTTGTTCAATAAGAAATTGTTAATATTGCTGATATCATTATCAATGGCATTAACAATGGATCACGACATGGCGATAACTCATAAATCCTTTGGCACTTTTGAAGAAAATACTTGTGAAAGCCTTAAAAGTATTACCAAATTGTTAATATTTTTATTTAATATTTTTATTTTTATTTAGTACATTGATTTTAAAATTATAAAGTTTCATGTGCAGTTTCAGCGTAGATAAATTTTCAATGTTTTATTAATTGTAAATCTATTGTTACTCGTACAATTGCAGTCTATCGACAATGTGCTTCAAACTATGATGGATTGTGATAAACTACTAGCAACCTTACCGAATGTACGATGGGCAGAACCGGTATTTCGGATGGTATCAAATCTGTTAGAGACATCAATAAAATTTCTGTCGGAAAATTTCGCAGGTGTTTTAGGAAACGACAATTTTCAATCACTTGGTCGCGAGCTAACATGGAACATCAGCCGTTTAGAAGATCATTTTATAGCAGCTGTTGAACAGTTGTCGCCCGAACAAGCATGCAAAAGTTATTCGAAATTGTATAAGATGTTACTCACGTCACAAACAGATGATTTTCAATGTAAGATTAAGTGGGGACCGCTTTTCATCGATTTTCTGCACAAGCTTCAAAGCCGTGTGGAAAAATGCTTAGTGCGTGATGCCGCACGTGCTGCAAGAACCATCACATGGCTGAAAATGGACCTGGAACTTCGCAGGAGAATACAAGAGCTAGCTTGTCTCGTAATCTTGCCTCATGAGACCTCAAAACGTTTATCTAGACATCCAAACTTTTTAAAAGTAAATATCTTCTTTAAGAAAGAATCTTAAGAGCTTACAAGATTTAAGGATCAAACAGATCACTTTTGTATAGAATATATATAATAATTTTAACGTTAACGTAATTGAATTAACTTAATATTGTTGTTTTCATATATCCTCGCATTATTTTTTTCTATAAAATCATATTTCATATATCAAAGGATTCTCATGCACCGCCAAATCGTTCAACCATAAGTCGTAGCTTGGATTTGAAACGTGTAAAAATGGCGATTTCGGAGCATAATGACAAAACCTTAAAGCAAACGTCATCAGCCAAGCAAACTAAGAAAATTTTATGTAAGCCAAAAACAGATCCGCTTGAGCGTAAAATGCAGGAAGATAAACAAATTATCTGTGAAACCGTCAGACCAAAATCGTGGCCTAATAAAATAGAGGTATATGCTTGAAATTTATAAAAATTTTAACCTCTTTCACAGCTTTACATATTATAGTATTATTACTATATACCAAGAAGAATCATTGTTTATCGAAATTTTATAATTTACCATATATCTTTATAATTAAAATTCAAATTTTTAAATTGAAAAAAATTATTAGTATTTCACACACACACACACACAATATTTTTTATTACCAAATAATCTCAATTATAATTAAGTCGATTATTAAAAATTGAATTATAATAAAATTATCAATATAAATTTACAGGTAAAATCAAGATATTTAGAGCCAAAAAATAAACTTGTCCCAAAGGAAAACATTTCCATACATCATGATAAAATTGTGCAACAAAGACGTAAAATTATGATTTCCTCGTCTGATTCATCACGCACTTCCAGTCCTGCGATGAAGCGTGCGACAGATAAAAAACCACTATCCAAGATGAAGTTACCAGTTAAAAAAGATATAAAAGCCCTTTCATCAGACAGCTTAACAGAAGCAAACACGAGCCAAACTGGCAATAAGGATTTGATCAGTAAAAGCTGCGCTATCACTAGACCAGAATCACCTTCTTTAAAACAAAAAAGCACTGAAATAGGTTTATCGATCGATTCTTTGGAGACTAAGAATAAGCCAATTACTGTTAAAAAGAAAGTTAATAAGATGGATACATCTATGTCCACCGACAGTCTTATGACGGAGATAACGACAACTCCAAAATCTACTGTGTCCCACAAATTGTCGCCTACTTTAGTAAAAGTGAACAAAACACAAACTTATGAAAGGTAAGATGGAATTTAACTTATTAAATTTAATTAATTTCTGCGATTTTGATTTGAAAGACTAATTTGTCATAATTCTACTATTGTGATTTTGCATTACATATTTAAAAAATATATAAAGTAAAGACTTTAATATTAAAAAAGTGTATAAAACAAAATTTAAATACTATCTTTTCACTTTGTGCATCAATTTTCGCACCTGACTTCTAGATATCCTTTTTTTATTCAATTTTTTTATAAAGTATTTAATTTTTTTGGTTGTTCTATATTAATAATCAGATTTGTTAATTGTAAACGGCAGAATAAAAAAAAGCTCGCCACCAACACAGCAGAGGAGTCCATTGACGATTACTAAAAGACTTCCGAGGTCGTTGGAAAATTCTACTGCCGCCAGTCGCAGTAGAGCTGCTGCTATCAGCAGCACGTATCACGGTTCACCGAGTTTACGCAGAAGTTTATTAGATGCTGCAAGGACACCGGATGTCCCCAGTAAACCGGTGAATACAGTAGCTCCTTTCAGGACACGACAGACAAATATTCCTCCCATTACAAAGAGAGAAAAAAAAGAAATTCAAAATCCGCAGAGTTCTGATAGTTCTAGCAAGAAATCCTCTCCAAAATCTAACATTAGCAGTAAGATGAGCAAGACAGTTATCGCCGGCAAAAGAATTATCGGTGGGAAAGCTGATGAAAAGATCAAAAAGTGTCACAATATGGAGACGCAAAGGCAACCTACAGTAGGTTCAAGATCTGGAACATTCCTCAAAGATGAACCTACGATACTTAAGAAAGGGGACATTAAATCATCGCAAATTAATATTTAATGCTATTAATGGTTGGAGAATTATATCAGATAGGATGCATTGTCGATATGATATCTATTTTTATTTGTTAATAATATTACACTTTAATTAACAATTTTTTTAATTATAACGATATGGACATTTTAAAATTTCGCATCCAATGCATATTATATTTATATATGTAGAAGTTGGTACAAATATTATATAATTATCTTTAAGAAAGCATATTTAAAATTATTATTAAATATGTTTTGAAATTACTTTTATATATTAATATACTTTATATATAATTCCACATTTACCTTATTTAATAAAAAAAAGACTTGTCGACAATGCATTGTATGCGTAATAAACCGTGATTACTAACCGGAGGACTATCGTTAGTAGCGAACGTGATAATTCCAATAGAGAAATATTATACAAGTATGTAACATAGAGGAATGTAATTTGAAAGAGCTTGGAATTGTCATTAAAAAATATACATTTGAGCTGCATTTATTAAGTTAAATAGAAAATAGTTAAATATATTACGATTATATACAGAGTATCTCAAAAGTAAGGTAGAAGCTACATTGGGGAGCATATAATGGATCAAGGGGAACAAAAAAATACTATATAGTTTTCGAATTAAAAAAGGAAACGTCTAAGCCAATGTGCGGTGAAGCCGCGCCGCCGCTGTCGAATGAGACGTTTCCTTCTTTAATTCGAAAACTGCAGCGAATATCTCAAAATGGTATAAGACTTTTTTGTTCCCCTTGATCCATTCTACGCCCCAAATGTAACTCTATCCTACTTGTTTAGACACTGTATATGTAATATGTACAGGGTGTCCTGTAAATTTTTGCCAAGCGCTTTTGTGAGATAGAGCGGACTAAACTGAGTTGAAAAGTCCTCTACCATTTTGCAATTTTCGCAATAAGTTAACAAGATATTAATTACTAAAAATATCCGAATATTGGTCTTCAACAATTTTTTATTCAAATACTATCAACTTTATAGAAAAAAATCATTTATTTTCTTCTCATAGAATTCTAAAAATTTTTTTCAGAATTTTTTATTAACTTTTTAGTACTGCATGTTTTATTTTTACTAACATGAGAAAATACGATATTAAAAATTTCTGAAAAAATTCTCAGAACTTTATGAGAAAAAATAAACAATTTTTGTCTCTTGCTGTTTTTTTGTAAAGTTGATAGTATTTAAATAAAAAATTATTGAAAATCAATATTCAGCGATTTTTAATAATTAAAAATAAGTATCTCGTTAACTATTGCGAAAATTGCAAAATGGTAGATGACTTTTCGACTCAGTTTAGTCCGCTCTATCTACACAAAAGCGCTTGGCAAAAATTTACGAGATACCCTCTCTGTGTGTGTGTGTGTGTGTGTGCGCGCGCGTGTGCGCGCGCGCGCGTGTGTGTGTACACATATACGTCATGGCGTTAGAATCGGTTATTTAAATGATAGAACAATTGTCAAATTTTAAGTAAATAATTTTTCATATTTCCTGCTTTTTTAATAACATGATTAACACAGATCTCATAAAATCTTATTTTGAGAAATGAAGTATAATATATAATATCCTCGAAAAAAGTGCGTGCGTGCAGGCATAAAGCCAGACATATAAAAAAAGATTATATAAGCATGTCTTTAAAGAATTTTCCAGGAAAAGTTTGTCCATCAAATACTTGTGCTGCACTTGGATTACTGTATATTGCACAATTAGAATAAGAGGAAGATCACACACGTACACACGCGCGCGTGCACTATTCCCGCCGCCCCTCTCTCTCACTCTCTCATTCAAAGCAGTAAATAGAAAGATAAAGAACGGACACATATGTACTTAACGAACAAAATTTTGATTACATGTATACACAATATTAATGTCTGGTAGTACTGCACATGCAGCATCTCATAATCCATAGATAAAAACGTAGCCAGTGACAGAATTATATTTAGATAGATAGCTCTTCCATCCTATGACGTAAATATGCCATATCAATTCGAAATTACTTCTTACTAACTAAATAATAATTTATTATATGCTGTTTAATTATTACTAATTGAAGTTGCCATTGTACGAGCTAATTCCGAATGCAAGCAAAAAATGTGGCTTTTTTTTGCTTGCAATTATTATTTATCGATGAATATTATGTAACTGATATATTTATTTGTTAAATTTCTATCTTTATTTTGCAATATACATTTTTATGCAATATTTGTATCTAGTCATTTGTATATTTTGAAGATTTACTTTTTTGTGTAATGTTAATAAATATATCAATATAAAGATTGAATGTTTATTATTTTGAGAAAAAATATGATTTTTGTAAAAAATATATACTATTGTGAAGAGAGGTTACAATTTTTTCGATAAACCAGATTCATAAAAATTATAAGATTGCAATGTTTGCACATTCTCAAATTTATTGAAAGTGTTACAATCTTTTTGTTCAAGCGCGATAATACATATAAGAAAATTAATTTATTTTTAACTCTAAAACAGTAAATTAATGTACATAATTACAATTAGTTCTTGCTAGAAAATCAAACATCCAACAACGTTCCTCTTGGTCTTGTTCGCTTTGAATCTATTTCAGCGGATGATATAGTCTTTCGTTTATTCATACCTTTTCTCTCCAATTGTTTTTCTATAATACGTGCATTATTCGCATAAGAATCTGCGACTTCTCTCTGAAATTCAATTATTTTTTTAGAATAAAAAATATAAAAAAAACAAAACTATATACAGGTTGATTAAAAAATACATCACAAAGTCAAATAACAGGCAAGCAGATAAATTGTATATTTTAAGTAACTACAATTAGAGTAAAAATTTTAATCATTTAACATTCATCTAATCATATACCATAAGAGAAACTTTTCTGAATATCATAAATTATAAACTGCTTGATAACATAAAAATACAATTGACATACTGCTTCTATTTCATCCTCTTCTTCATCAATCGTGGATACAGTAACTGAACTGAATTTGCCCATATTTTTGGTGTGCTTTGTAACCATTATTTTTTTAGGTTTCTCAATGGCCACTTGATTATAAATGTCTGTCATAGGGCCTTCCCCAGAACTTTTTATTACGGAATCTTTTACTATAAATACTATATTCACTACTGGATCATGCTTATAATACAGCAATAAGCCACATCTGCAAAACATTAATTGTATCAAGACATATATCGAATATGTTCTTGCAAAATATTTTTTCAGTGTTTTTATAATATAAAATTATTAATGTATTCAAAATAATAAAAGTCACAAGTACATTTTCATTGCACTTGAATGAATAAAAAATATATTGCACAAACACAAATATACTTGTACTTTTTACACTTTTGTCTATATTGTTTTTCAATTCCCTCTGGACGCTTAAGAAATACAATTTCGTCTCGTTCCGAAGTCATTTTGTGGGCATGTTTACTGCCATCAATTACTCTTGCTCCATCTCTTTTTCTTAAAGGTAATTTTTCAATGGCACAATCTATAAATAAACGATTACAAAACATAAAATGGCATTAATCTTAATAAAGACACAGAGTTATTGGATGATTCCTATTTCAATATTTTAGATGAAATAAAAAAGCATAATCGTGTATAAAGTATGGAAAATAAAACAAACTTTATAAAATGTAAAAGACAAAATTAGAACAACTTGACATTAATGAAACTAATATATTTAGGCACATAAAGCGACATCACAGTTTACAGTGAAAAGTCATTTTGTAAATACTGAGACCATGATGAGCACGTTTTATATTTTTCAATTTTTTGTACTGAGGAATGTAAGTTTTTTTTTACATAAAAAATCAATCTTACTAATTAATCATAACTTTTTATAGATAAAGAATCAGAAGAAAAGATAACTTCACTATTTTAATTCACAATGATTTCCATCACGGACTGAAATATTTTATAATCACATGACGAAAACATGAAATATTCGAATAATAAGACTTCACTCCATTCTACAAACAAATTTTGAAAATTCGGTTTCACACATGGACTCAGTAAGCAAATAAGTTTGAAAATTCGAATCTAATGACATTAATATATAAAATATTTATCAATGTTTAACAATTAATTATATTTATATAGTAGGATAACAAATTAGAATAACTAAAGAAGACTAAGCAAAAATCGAAACGTTTTAGGTTGAATTATATTTAATGTTATGAAATTATACTAATAAACATTATATATTACATTGCTCGTTACATAGCCTCATTATTCAAATGTAGTTGAATAATGACACAAGCTTTTTATAAAATTCAATAAGTTATGTTACTAATAACTTTATTAATATTGATATAAATATCATATTTGAAAATAAAATCATTTTATAAGAATTTTCTACAATATTCAATATAATAGTCCGAAATTAAATTTAACTCTACACATAAATGCAAAAAAAGTTATATTTTACACTACAAATTATTTTTTAGAAATCAATAAATGTAATAATTCTAACCTAAAATTAGTGTCATCTGGCCACATATACAATAATAAATGTGCAACGGTTTCTCCTCGCTGTATTCTTCTTGATCTTTCGTATCAGAGCATATAATGCTCCTCGACACTACTTTTGGCATAACTTATTCAATTATTCGTTTTATTTCAGTCAAATTTACGGTTTTTATAAATTCATATCTTATTCTTTTTATTAGCTATGCAATCTGTACTGGTTGATACTGAGCCATTGAGTATCTGCCTTGTTGAATATATATGTCCGCTTGCATGGAAATCGATTGTGAAGTTTTAGAAGTGGGGGAAGCTGTCACCTTAAACCGGGCGCCTGCTGTCACCCAGTGATGATCGCGCGTCATGGCAGAGGGGGGATTATCAAAATCAAAAGAATAAGTCAGAGCCTTTCATAAAAGCCAAGGAGTCTGCAAAATTTGGGAGTGGGATGGGAAAGGACGAGGGATCCAGGAAATTTAGATCGACAGTAATTTTGAAGTGAAAAGATTTGTGACTATAAGTACTACATTGTAAAGTGATATGGTTAATATCTTGTATTTCAGCTCCATAGGGACAGGCAGGAGAG